ATTAAAATTAGTACTATTGCAATAATAATAATAATAATTTATTTGTCCTGTATGATCACAGATGTGATATAGGATAAGTCAGTCAGAGCACTACAAAAGCTAATAATAATAATAATAATAATAATAATAATATTTATTCACTCAATGTACAAAGATAACAAACAATATGAGTAAATAAATATAAAATCAAAACAGGCCCAATAGAAGGCATCGCCTGTACATGGACCAATAATTTAAGTTGAAACTGTAGAATGCAAATGACAAAAAAGGACAAAAATTAGCTACAGTAGATTATGTATTTAGTTGATGTTCGTATTTATGAGTTTACGAATTTCAGTCCTAGATATAGAATGTAGCCACTTTTTTAAATTTCTTTTGAAACAATTTCCGAAACGTAAATCTTTTAAGTCTTTAGGTATAATTTCATAAAATTTAGGCGCTAAATAGAGATGTGATCGCTGCATTATAGATTTATGCGGTTGAGGAACTACTTTGCCACGAATTTTGTACCTGGTATAATGATTATGTTTAATTTTTTGGTCGGTGTTTACAAATTTATGGTAGTGAGTGATACTGTGTAAGAAATAAAGCTGTCTTATATCATACATTCGAACATCTGCGTATAATTTTTCAGTGGGATAAACTTTCGGTTTTTTAAATATCATTTTTAGAATACTTTTTTGAAAAACATCTAAATTATAGATATGCGAGGAACATACAGCTCCCCATGCTAATATACCATATGTGAGATGAGGCTCAATCAGTGCATGGTATAATGTTCGAATATATTTTTCTGTCAATATATTCCCAAGGTATTTAATTTTATAGGATACAAATCTAACTTTCTTTAAAATATAATTGACATGGATGTCCCATCGTAAGTGAGGATCCAAGACCAGTCCAAGGTATTTTATGTTGGGCACTCTATTAATTTGCATTTTTTGATCATTAATATTGAAGGAGAAATTTGTGTAATTTGGCAGATGTCTAGCATAAGATCCAAATGGTAAAAAATGTGTTTTAGAGTAGTTAATGCTTAATTTTCTACTGTTAAACCACCGAATAATTTTGATAAAATCATTTTCAATTACATTTTTCAGATCAGACCAGTCAGTGCCTTCGTATAATATTGCAGTATCATCTGCAAAACTAGTTATTTTGCCAACACAATTAATTTGGAAAATATCATTTAAATATATATTGAATAACAGCGGACCTAAGACAGTTCCTTGTGGGACACCACACTTAATATACATTTCTTTACTAAATGATCCTGATATCTGCACAGATTGTGGGCGATTTGACAAATAACTTTCGATCAGTGAGTACGCGTTTCCTCTAAAACCAATTCTCTCCAATGCTTCTAATAATAATTTTTGATTAACTGTGTCGAAAGCTTTCTTTAAATCAACAAAAATGCAGATTGAAGGGATTCTGTTATCAATATTTTGATGTATTTGATTTACAATTTTAGTTATTGCGTCCGATGTAGCCTTCCCTTCTGTAAATCCATATTGATTTTGACTTAAAATTTTGAATTTTGTGAGGTATCGAATCATTCTAGTAGATAAAACTTTTTCAAAAACCTTTGCTACACTGGATATTATTGATATTGGTCTGTAGTTGTTAACATCTGTTTTTGTTCCTGATTTATGTATCGGTATTATATTACCTTTTTTAAAATTGAGGGATATATGCCAGATTCAAAGCATTTGTTGATTAGGTAAGTGAGTGGTTCTGTTATGTCCTCGGCTATAATTTTCAAATGTTCGCTTTTAATACCATCGAACCCAGGACTTTTCCGATTTTTTAAGGACATAACAGTGGTATATACTTCACATTGCTCGACTTTATCCAAAATAAATGAGTTCAAAGTTCTTTTTGGAGGCTGAGCCCTACAAGCTCTATAAATTTATTTTTATATTGGTTGTAGCAGTCGGTATTCTCTGTAGTTGGCGTTAGTTTCATTACATTATATAGTCTTTCTTTTTCTATTGCCGATGTTATTAATCCTTTGGTAATCCAGGCATTTCTGCTTTTCTCTTTGTGACTAATTATTACTTTATTGGTACTAATATCTATTAGTTTTTCTATTTTCTCTATGAACAGTCCCGTTGCTTTATCTATATTATTTATAGAGTATAATTGTTCCCAGGATTCTTGTTTGACATTTGATATTAGTTTTGAATTGTCGACAAAAAATTTGTAATTTTCCTGGTTGTTATTAACGGTAGGGATATTAGAATGTTTTTCATTTGAAGATATCAGTAAAATAGTGGAGAAGTGGTCAGTAATATCGCTTTCTAGGATTATTGGTATACAAGTAATTTTGTTGGATAGGTCTTTCACAAAGCAGTGATCTATACATGTGCCACTGATGGACCTTGTAGGTAGGTTTATATGGGACAGAAATCCGTTACTTGATAGGATATTCAAGTATTCATTTGTGATGGGATCGTCGTCCAAAATATTTATATTGACATCTCCCAAGAAAATATGTTGCTTTAAATGAACTCTATTTTGATTTTGAAAAAAAAATTCGATATTCTTTAAAAACTCGTGGGGTTCTGAACATGGCGGACGATAAATTGCAGGTACCTCAATTTTTTTATGGTTAAATTGGATCATTATGTTTAAAATTTTGATTCCATCGGTGAAAGTGAATGTATCATGATTATATTGCAGTTTATTTCTTACAAAAACTATAACAAATCATTTTAGTGTGGACGCACACATATTCGTACCACATATGGCATATTCCAAATATGGATACAGATAAATCAAATTAGCGTAGATATAATTTATAAATATAAAACATATATGTATATACAAAAAAGCGAAATAAAGGACAAACCATTGACATTCAAACAACAATGATCAAAATCAAACAAGACATTCACACATTAAAAATTCCTCAATAGAGTAAAAAGCTTTCTCCAGGAAAAACTGTTTAACTGTTCTTTTAAAAGTGTTCAGTGGTTGTGATTTCAAATTGTTGGGGAGTCTGTTGAAAAACTTAATAGCCATGTATCTAGGGCTGTCCTCCGTTCTCGACAATCTATGCGACGGCACCTCCAATACTTGACTATTTCTTGTAAAGTAAGCACCAGTGCTTACAGAATTGAACTTGCTCAATTGCGTTTTAGCAAGGATAAGTATATTGAGTATATGTACAGATGGTAACGTCAAAATCTTTAATGTTCTAAATGAATCCTTGCAGCTAGTGAGCCTTCCAATTTTAGCTATTACTCGAACAGCCTTTTTTGCAACACAAAAAGTCTAATCACATACATTGAAATTAGGAAGAGGAACATTTTTACCTACTATCGAAATTATCTCAAAGTCAGGTCTTATTTATTCTGAATACCTGAAAGCGAAACCTTTCGAACAATAGGAAAGCATTTGGAGTATCTAAGAGGCGCCCGCGTCTCTTTTTATTCTCTCTACTTCCAAGTTTCTAATTCTTTGGAGAACTTGCTGGTGTGTGAAATCCCCGAAAAACCCCAGATAAAGCAGGTTTTCTACAGCCTCGTTGATAAAGCTGGTTAGAGATTTTCGATTTTAGTGATTTACTTTATCTACGAGGGCGAATATAAATATAAAATAAAGATATTATAGCATTATCTTCAAACCAGCAAGTCATGTAAGGCTTTTTTATTTGTCAGGAGGGTTGATCCCTATTGTCGACACTTGATCGTTCTGTAATACATTTAATTGTAGGTGTAAGAAAAAACCTTGACTAAAAAACTTGTGGCCCAATAGTCGCTTTGGAAATTATATCAATTTGATGGATACTTGTCCAAATTGGGTCACAATCTACTATGTATATATATATATACAGGGTGCATCGTTTGCCAAATTGAAATGTCGGACAGAGGACGTCTTTTTCTATCACCCCAGGTCCCTCAAACAGTTTTTAGCCCAACAGAATTAATTATGTAGATTTTTTAATTTGTTTTAGTAAAAACTCCAGAATGTAATACACAAAGTGAAATAAAAGAAAAATAAAGAGTATGTCCACCTAATGATTATTTTATCTTAATGGGTGATGTTGTACCAATCTTACAAAATCAACATTACTTGCCAGCAGCATGTAGTTTTTTATTTATAAACTCACAAAGGGCTACAAAGAATAACAAAAAATGTAAGTCTCAATTTTGAATTTCTGTAAAAAAAACTGAAAGCGTCCACGTTTTTGGAATTCTTTTAAAAAATACTCTAGTTTATCCCGATTCTAACGGTATGCCACAAGTCACAAAAAGGTATATACTGGTTCCTTTACGTTCCTTTTGTAATTGCCATCCTCTTTGTGAAATATTGAGACTTTCTCCCATTTTACCCTTTGCCCTCCTTCCCACACGTGTAAGCATAGCGGTGACTTTGAAGTTTCTCCCTTTGTTACATAGCGTGTATGTTCTTTAATTATACATTTACACTTTACACTTTGATCTAAGCCAGAGGCAGGTCTTGCTGTTTCACCGACGAAGCATTTACCGCAGTCTCAGTATGTTTTGTATATTGAATATTTTGTGTTGATATTTTCATTTGTATATATTTGTGTGGCATAGTTGTAACGTGTCAAAATCACATAACCTTTTTTTAATAGTTTGATCGCGTACCAGTAATTTGAATTTCTCTTTATTACTGATAGAGAGCTCGAAACTAGAACATCCCATATGCAAAAATGTCTTTTTAGTGATGGTTTGAGACTTTTTAATGCATTACCTACAGAAATTAGAGAAGCGACGACTGTAAATATATTTATTCGTAAGGTTAAGCAATTGTATCTAGATAAAATGGCATAATATATGTACTTTCTGTGTTAAGATAACTGTATGTTCATTATCTCACATTTGCTATTGTGGCATTTACTGTGGGGTGCAGTTACTATGATGTTAAGGGAGCTAGACTGACGGGGGGGGGGGAGGACGGGAGGAAGACACGAGGAGAAACGAGAGGAAGGAGCGGGAGGGCGAAGAAGAAGAAACAGGGCAGGGCAGGCAGGGCAGGGCAGGGCAGGGCAGGGCAGGGCAGGGCAGGGCAGGGCAGGGTCAGGGCAGGGCAGGGCAGTGCAGGGCAGGGCAGGGAGGGCAGGGCAGGGCAGGCAGGGCAGGGCAGGGCGGGGAGGGCAGGGCAGGGCAGGGCAGGGGGCAGGGCAGGGCAGGGCAGTGCAGGGCAGGGCAGGGCAGGGCAGGGCAGGGCAGGGCAGGGCAGGGCAGGGCAGGGCAGGGCAGGGCAGGCAGGGCAGGGCAGGCAGGGCAGGGCAGGGCAGGCAGGCAGGCAGGGCAGGCAGGGCAGGGCAGGCAGGGCAGGGCAGGGCAGGGCAGGGCAGGGCAGGGCAGGCAGGGCAGGGCAGGGCAGGGCAGGGCAGGGCAGGGCATGGCAGGGCAGGGGGCATGGCAGGCAGGGCAGGGCAGGGCAGGGCAGGGCAGGGCAGGGCAGGGCAGGCAGGGCAGGGCAGGGCAGGCAGGCAGGGCAGGGCAGGGCAGGGCAGGGCAGGGCAGGGCAGTGCAGGGCAGGGCAGGGCAGCAGGGCAGGGTGCAGGGCAGGGCAGGGCAGGGCAGGGCAGGGCGTGCAGGGCAGGCAGGGCAGGGCAGGCAGGCAGGGCAGGGCAGGGCAGGGCAGGCAGGGCAGGGCAGGGCAGGGCAGGGCAGGGCAGGGCAGGGCATGGCAGGGCAGGGCAGGCAGGGCTGGCAGTGCAGGGCAGGGCAGGGCAGTGCAGGGCAGGGCAGGGCAGGGCAGTGCAGGCAGGGCAGTGCAGGGCAGGGCAGGGCAGTGCAGGCAGGGCAGGGCAGGGCAGGGTCAGGGCAGGCAGGGCATGGCAGTGCAGGGCATGGCAGGCAGGGCATTGCAGGCAGGGCAGTGCAGTGCAGGGCAGGGCATGTCATGCAGGGCAGGGCATTGTCAGGCATTCATTCAGGCAGGGCATTTCTGTCATTCATGTCATTCATTTCATTTCATTTCATTTCATTTCATTGCATTTCATTATTCATTTCATTTCATTTCATTTCATTTCATTTCATTTCATTATTCATTTCATTTCATTTCATTTCATTTCATTTCATTTCATTTCATTTCATTTCATTTCATTTCATTTCATTCATTCATTTCATTTCATTTCATTTCATTTCATTTCATTTCATTTCATTTCATTTCATTTCATTTCATTTCATTTCATTTCATTTCATTTCATTTCATTTCATTTCATTTCATTTCATTTCATTTCATTTCAACTACCTAATCCTGAAACTATAATATCCCACCTATTATATTCATAGGCAACCAGTGAAGTTGTGTGTGTAGGTTCGGTTGCCGAACTTTTCTTTTCGTGTCGGTAATTCCCTGTTGAAGCCTTGTTTGAGGTGTATCGGTCCTTTGTTTGGATTCCAAATTTCGGGATATTGGGCCACAATCATCAGTTTATGGAGTAGCACCCTTTTTTTATATGTACCTTACCTTTAGTTGCTTGTTTTGGTATCTTAGAGAACTTGTTTTGAAGAAAGTTCTGATAGTTTTTTTGCAAACACTTAGGAAATGAACCTCCATAAAAATGTATGGTGCGCAAAGAGTATTTGTTGTGATTGTTAGCTAAATTGGGCCTTGAGATTTAACAATTTTTTGAGAGATAAGTCTGTAAGATCTAAACAGGGCTTTCATAAAGCATCAGATGAAAATTCAAGGGTTGATTCCTTGGACTATTATTCTAAATGCCGTTTTAGATTACTGAATTTCTTGTACAAGAAGTGAAGTTTTTAAATGAAAATAGGTGTTTTACATTTGCACAGTTTAGTGTACATACAAGGAAAAGCACACGCATGTTTTTTAACAAATTCAGAGTTGTTGACAATAATAATGTTGAAGATCAAAACAAACAAAATGAGCCCTTTTCTTTCCACAACTTTTCCAGGCTTTGAGGCTTATACTACGGAAAGTTGATTCATGAATTTTTCTGACGAGGGACACGACGCGACGTCAAGTGAAATGATAAATGACAGAAAACAACATCAAAGTAAGGCAGCGGCCCGTGGCTGCTCTACTAAACAAACTTTCAGCCTACAGCCTCTTGAAAAGGTTAATAGATGGGCGGCAAAGTTCCTTTCCGGTCATAAGATATCCAGCGTTGCGGAATGATTTCAGTCTTTCCACGTCATCAAGCCAATTGTACTGCAGGGACGGCCACGGTACCGTTTGTTTGTTGATATTTCGTCTGTGAAAGTTGCATTTTCCAATATTTACTTCCCACGGCAACTCGTGAGACAGTATTTTAATTGCGGAAAATTTCTAAAATAAGATAGTTTCATGATATATACTAAGTGACATATAAATCCGAACACCCAGTTTAAATGGTTTTATTTTAATAAAATTTAAGTACTTAATGAAGCATAATAAGTAAATGATAAAAATTTCAAAATCACTGCTTTAAAGCCCTTTGACCTTTAATAATGTGTGGATGCACCCTGATGTGCTACGCATTCTCCAACGCGCCTAGGCATGCTTCTGATCAGGTGGTCAATGTCCTCCTGTGGTATCTCATTCCAGGCAACCACCAACTCCTCTCGAAGTGCTTCTAGAGTCTGAGGAGGACGTTGCAAATTGAGCAATCTCCTACCCATCATATCCCACACGTGCTCAATTGGGGACAAGTCGGGAGATCTTGGTGGCCATGGTAACAATGTGACATCATTATGTTGAAAGAAGTCTATTGTGACTCTTGCAACATGTGGTCGGGCATTATCTTGTTGGAAAGTTGGATCTGCCAGGGTGTCAAGATAGGGTAAAAGATGGGGTTCTAGAACTTCGTGGATATAACGCTGCGCGTTCATGTTACCTCTGATGAAGATTAAAGGTGACATGGAACCATAAGCTATAGCACCCCAAACCATAATTCCAACAGTGTGATGAACATGTCTTTCAACAAAAAACTGTGGATTCCTCCTTTCACCACGTCGCCTTCTAACCCTGGCACGACCATCGTGCATGCCTAAACAAAATCGAGACTCGTCACTAAAGACAATACTGTTCCATTCCTGATCCCAGAGTGACCGTTGTCTACACCTCTCAAGGCGATTACGTCGGTGTTCTCGAGTTAAAGGGAGGACCCAGTGTGGCCGGTATGAAAACAAGCCAAAACTTCTCATTCGTCGGTAAACACTTCGCATGCCAATAGGTCTTCCGTGTTCTGCAAACCATTCATTTGCAATGGACCTGGTAGTGGAGAAACGGTCCCTTAAGGCCAATAATCTTAGGCGGCGATCTTCACGGTCTGTTGTTCTACGGCGGCATCCAGTGCCCCGTGCTCTTTGCGTACGGCCTGACAACACCTAACCACAGTGTCTACACTTCTTTGCACTCTAACTGCAATTGCCCGAAAAGAAAGTCCAGCTTCCCGAAGTCCCACTATACGGCCCCTATCAAACTCACTAAGTTGACGAAATCGTACAGGTCTCCGTACTCTAGGCATCGTAACCGATCGTAAAGGATGTCAAGAACCAAAATCTGCCAACGTTGATTCTTTACTGTGGCTGAAATATTCATTTTTAGAGCGTTAGTGAATTAAAAAAAAAAGCAGTATAAAAACCGGAATGTCCAACTGATAAGGCTGAAAATTTTTTCACTTGTTATTTACAGTAAGATAAATACATTCACCAACTTTTATTAAAATAAAACCATTTAAACTGGGTGTTCGGATTTATATGTTAGTATAGTTCCTTTAAAATGTTAAAATGCGGTGCTGTGTATGATGTTTCATTTTTGGTCATCACTTGTGAATATACGAGAATGATTCAAGTTACCGATAAAACGATAAATGAACTTCGCAAAGTAAGGACTCAATAAATAAAGATCGTGCACACCAGAACTTAAAGCTCGGCTCGAAAAACAACGTACTTGGCAACGCCGCAGCTCGACTGCATTTACATATATCGCAATGCGGAGCTAGCAGCCGCGGACACGTCAGAAGCTAACGAGAAATCCCATTCAAAGTTAATGAACAGAGCCGAACTGTGTGCAACTCTGGAACGAACACGGAGCGGACAACAACCAATGAACTGGCGCGTCGGCTTTTGCGAATGTTTGTAAACAAGACGATTTTTTTCTATTATCAATTTTCGCGTTGTCGGCTGTCGGACGCTTGAATTGAAATAGTTAATTGAAGGTTGTTCGTCTTAATTGAGCTGAATTGCACGACCGACCTGAATGTGATCGGACTATTGATGGAATTAAATGACTATGTAAAGTTCAGTTTCAGGGCTTAAAAAATACGTAGGATGACTCTGTACTTTTCACGCAACGCTATCGACAATTCATAAAATACAGGGTGCGTCATCTATTACTTTTTTCTATTTGAAAAATCAACACGCATTTTACGAGGTGAAATCGAATTTTTTATTGATAAATGAAGGTTACAGGCCAACATCCGAACATCAAAGTTTTCAATGACTTTCCCCAGAATAATCGGATGTATGGCCGCAATTTCAGTCCGAATATTGCGCTTTAGGTCTTGAATTGTCCGGGGACCATTCGCGTACACTTTTCCTTTCAAAAATCCCCAAAGAAAATAGTCAAGAGGTGTCAAATCGCACGATCTCGGGGGCCAACTGATATCTGAATTTATGCGGTCTTGAAATTTCGTGTGCAATAAGGCGATTGCTTGGCGAGATGTGTGAGCCGTTGCTCCGTCTTGATGAAACCGAAGATCGCCGGCACCAATACGATCCAATTGTGGCCACAAAAAGTCTGTTAACATGCCGCGATAACGTTCCCCGTTGACGGTAATGGCCTTTTTTTCGGCATCTTCAAAGAAGAATGGTCCAACGATGCCACCAGCCCATAATCCGCACCAAACAGTCACTTCTTCAGGATGGAGAGGTTGTTCGTGATATTGGTGTGGATTTTCAGCCCCCCAGAATCTGCAATTTTGCTTATTTACGTACCTATTGAGGTGAAAATGAGCCTAATCAGAAAAGAGCACTTTGGCCGAAAATCCGTCTTCTCTTTCCAGCATCCGATTAACAAAAACACGCCACTATTTATGGTCTGCCGGTCTCAATTCTTGTGTTAGTTGGATTTTGTATGGATGGAAATGTAAATGAACGTGTAAAATCCGGCGTAAAGTAGTCTCACTAATTCCCAATTGTTGCGAACGGTGCCTAGTCGAGGTGGTTGGAAAATAAATGTCTCTCCGTCTACAAAAATGTTAGGAGTTACTAGTAACCAGAGGCTTAGGTTCACAGACCACGTGAAACATATCTTAAAAAAATTATAACGTATGTCCTTAAAGCTTTGGCACAAAATTCATTGGCTTTACTTTTAACAAACACAAAATAACATCAAGTTGCCTTTAGAAACAAAAGTTTGTTTACTTACTTTACCTGTCAGTTGACATTTATTCATTTTGAAGTTTTCGCTTTAGCGCATATCGCAAAATGAAATATTAGGATGTAAATTTTACGAAAATATCATTTTTTCTTTAAGGAACCCCCTGCTTGCTATTTTATAGAACTTCGAAGTTGCACTTTTGGCGGTAATACTCTAGAATAGAATACTGTTTTATATGCTGTCTTTCTTTGCCTTTTGTACAAAAGGGTGCTCTAAATTATAAGAATACAACAAACACTGTATAGTACTAAGGAAAATATACTAAGTGACATATAAATCCGAACACCCAGTTTAAATGGTTTTATTTTAATAAAATTTTGTATAAGTTCTTAATGAAGCATAATAAGTAAATGATAAAAATTTCAAAATGATTGCACTGCTTTAAAGCCCTTTGACCTTTAATAATGTGTGGATGCACCCTGATGTGCTACGCATTCTCCAACGCGCCTAGACATGCTTCTGATCAGGTGGTCAATGTCCTCCTGTGGTATCTCATTCCAAGCAACCACCAACTCCTCTCGAAGTGCTTCTAGAGTCTGAGGAGGACGTTGCAAATTGAGCAATCTCCTACCCATCATATCCCACACGTGCTCAATTGGGGATAAGTCGGGAGATCTTGGTGGCCATGGTAACAATGTGACATCATTATGTTGAAAGAAGTCTATTGTGACTCTTGCAACATGTGATCGGGCATTATCTTGTTGGAAAGTTGGATCTGCCAGGGTGTCAAGATAGGGTAAAAGATGGGGTTCTAGAACTTCGTGGATATAACGCTTCGCGTTCATGTTACCTCTGATGAAGATTAAAGGTGACCTGGAACCATAAGCTATAGCACCCCAAACCATAACTCCAACAGTGTGATGAACATGTCTTTCAACAAAAAACTGTGAATTCCTCCTTTCACCACGTCGCCTTCTAACCCTGGCACGACCATCGTGCATGCCTAAACAAAATCGAGACTCGTCACTAAAGACAATACTGTTCCATTCCTGATCCCAGAGTGACCGTTGTCTGCACCTCTCAAGGCGATTACGTCGGTGTTCTCGAGTTAAAGGGAGGACCCAGTGTGGCCGGTATGAAAACAAGCCAAAACTTCTCATTCGTCGGTAAACACTTCGCATGCCAATAGGTATTCCGTGTTCTGCAAACCATTCATTTGCAATGGACCTGGTAGTGGAGAAACGGTCCCTTAAGGCCAATAATCTTAGGCGGCGATCTTCACGGTCTGTTGTTCTACGGCGGCGTCCAGTGCCCCTTGCTCTTTGCGTACGGCCTTCTCGAAGCCATGCCTGACAACACCTAACCACAGTGTCTACACTTATTTGCACTCTAACTGCAATTGCCCGAAAAGAAAGTCCAGCTTCCCGAAGTCCCACTATACGGCCCCTATCAAACTCACTAAGTTGACGAAATCGTACAGGTCTCCGTACTCTAGGCATCGTAACCGATCGTAAAGGATGTCAAGAACCAAAATCCGCCAACGTTGATTCTTTACTGCGGCTGAAATATTCATTTTTAGAGCGTTAGTGAATTAAAAAAAAAGCAGTATAAAAACCGGAATGTCCAACTGATAAGGCTGAAAATTTTTTCACTTGTTATTCACAGTAAGATAAATACATTCACCAACTTTTATTAAAATAAAACCATTTAAACTGGGTGTTCGGATTTATATGTCACTTAGTATAGATGTGAAACTGTAAAAACTCGTTGTTTTTCGCAAAAATAAAGGTTCAAAACCAGACGTGTTATTACACATTAGCTTATTAGCTTAAATAACAGATCAAAATACATACGCAAATGATGGTATTTACTTGGTAAACTGTGTAGAGGTGTTGTTTTGTGATTTTTCGATGTCTTTCGCGTATTTTCAATAGGATCAAAGTTTTTGCGTTTATAAGAAATATTTGAAAGAACAAACAATTCCCAATGGCCATTTTATAACGCTCATTCCTTGACAGATAAGATAAATGACGTTCATTGTTGCCAAGTTGTACCTTTTTTGGGAGAAATACGTAATTAGAAATGAGGTTATTTGCAAAATAAAAGTCTTAATTTATTATAAATGTCTTGTTTTATGAAAAGTTGTCCCAATATTTACCGAAAACTAGATGAAATTTTGAGCAGTATGTGTCTAAACAGTGAAAAATGCACCAGCGGCTCGTGTGACATAAAAAATACAAAAGGCACCAGCGGTCATTGCATATAAAAATACCCAACGTCGATTCGTCGATTTGGACCACCTCGCCAGGTCCACCCAACATATCATCGTCGAACATTATAGTTAACCCTTTAATTGACAATGTTGCTTATGGTCAACATCTTTTTATATTATATTATATGGTCTCCGTTGTACAGATATGCGATTAAACGGCCAATGATGCTTACAGGCAACGTTCGTTCGCATCAGAGCAGCGATGTTTGCCGAGAAACTCCGATCAGTTACCATGCTACACGCGGTTGTTATGACAGTGTTGTGAATTATTGTAGGTTATGTGTGTACTATCTCGTTCTATATTAGTGAATTGTATATAAAAAAATATATTCGCTGCTGTTTTTCATATATTTTGAAGGTAGATATACGTTAGAATTTGTGTATAACTATTCTTAGTTAGTTTTTACGATTTTACAGGGTGAAATCATTTCGCATATTCAGTGTTGCTTACAATCATCATTGCCAGGACAGAAAATAATGGATGTAACAACTTTTTACGGGAAACGTAAAAATCAGGTAGTTATCCTGCCTCCCGAGGATCCCGCTCTATCCGATGCTGATTTTTCTGACCTCGACGATGATAATGACCTCACCACTACTGCCGCTGAAACCAATTTGTCAGAAAATACGGGTGACGTTGGAAGGAATCACTTACTCCCTTCTGAAGTTTTAGAAGAGGATAGTGATGGATTTGATGATGAAGATTTGATTCCATTAGCCCAACTTCGTTCACAGGCTTTGTCCAGAGCAAATGGGTTTCAGATGCATCCATCGCATTGAAAAAACAAGATATTGTCGTAACGGACAATAACAATGCCGACAATGTCCTTGAAAGTGATGATACTGAAACTGAGACTCCACTTACGTACTTTTGTAATTTTTTTACGCCAGAAATGATTACTCTGATAAGTTCACAAACTAATCTATATTCTGTACAGGTAACTCCATAAATACAAATGATTAAGAAATTCAACAATTTATAGGAATACTAGTTTTTATGGGCGTAATAAGTTTCCATCATATACCGATTGCTGGAGTCAACAATATAGATATGATAAAATTGCTGATGTAATGAGCCTAAAAAGATTTCAATAACTGAGACGATTTTTACATTTTGCAGACAATCACGAAAATCAGAAGAGTCAACTGCTACTGATAGGCTCTAAAAAATTCGTCCTTTACTGAACATTGTGCGATTCCAATGCAGAAATTTAGAACAGGAATCCCATCATTCTATAGATAAAATGATGATCCTATATAAGGGTACAAGAACCGGAAATTTACGTCAATACATTCAAAATAAGCCTCATAAATGGGGTTATAAGTTTTTTATGCGCTGTGGGGTATCAGGAATCATTTATGACTTTGTTCCCTACACAGGAAAAGGAATGATTACCGATCTAAATGAAGAGCAACAAAAATTTGGTATTGGTGGACAAGTGGTGATTTTACTCTGCAAGACCCAAAGTGTTTTTCGATAACTTTTTTTGTACATTCGAGCTAATTGCTAATCTAAAAGAGAAAATGCAAATAAATTCACTTGGTACCTTGCGAAAAAATAGGCTAAAAAATTGTCCCTTCAAAGATGATCGCAAGTTACAGGAGGCAAAAGGAAGATATGACTTTTGGTACGATGAGAACAACAAACTTATAGCAGTAAAATGGGTAGATAACAAAGTTGTTACTTTGGCAAGTTCCTTTGTCGGAGTACAACCCCTAGGCTCTGTGAAGAGATGGAACGCCGCCGAGAAAAGAAAAGTAGATGTGCCTTGCCCAAAAATAGTTCAACAATATAATAAGCACATGGGGGTGTCGATTTAGCTGGTATGCTTATTGAGTTGTACAGAGTTCCGCTAAAATCTAGAAGATGGTATCTTAGGATATTTGGCTGGTTGAGTGGTCTTGCTGTCGTAAATGGATGGTTGGTTTACAGACGAGAAAGTGGGAAGAATAAGCCATGCCTAAAAGTTTTTCGTACCATGATAGCAGAAGGTCTACTGGCCCAGAAAAAGAATAGGGACAGACCATCTTCCATAGAAAACGTCCCATCCAAGAAAAAAGCTGTCATTCCTAGACCAGTAGAAGATACCAGAAGTGTAAATTAAGTCTGTGCTTTGTACCCAAAAGGATCTGTTTTTATTCATTCCACAATAAATAAAATTTGTTATTTTTCTCTATTATAACAGGCAATGTTGCTTTCAAGCAACATTGTCTTTTTTGTTAAAAAAAGTAAAAAATAAATATTTTTCAGTTCAAAAGTGTTAGAGTAAACATTTTGTGTTAGTTTATAATAAAAAAACATTTATTTGCATCTTTTTCTTGCCAAATAAAGGGTTAAATAAAGATCAACGATCATTTCATCAAATCATCAAAAAACTTGCAATGTTCTTTGTTATGTTTTCATTATTTAGTGATTTGCAACAGCTACTTTTTAAGTTATTTCTCATATATATCACATTTAATTAGGTACATTTTGTAACATCAGCTTCATATTAAATAATTCCTCAAGTACGTACATACAAAAAGTAAATAGATTATAACTATAATATAGGAAAAACAATAACCGAAGTACTTTTGTGAAAGGCATACGGCATTCTCCAAAAAAGTGTATTTAGCTAACGCTAGCGTACTACACAAGGTAGATTTAATACAATAAAACCTGCTGGCCACACCTCCAAATCGCATTTTCATGGCAATCCTGTGCCGATTGCACATTTTTGCGCTGGAATATAGGTAATAATTTGACAAACCAAATCAGGGTATATTGCTATCCATGATTTGGCAACATCGCAACTAGATGGAGAGAGTATGACAGTGATGGTGGTGTAGTGATGGGAATAATTCACTGGAAAACAAATTTTAGTTTTTTAATTGTATCTTGTAGGAAAAGTGCACTTCTTTGTTAATTTTGGGGCGCTGAATCCAAAAATGACAATGAAATAAAAAAATTAGTTGCGGTTTAGAAAAAAAACTTTTTATTTTTAAGAATATATTAAAAAAAGTAACAAGATTCATATACTTATAAGAATCACTATATGCGCTGTCTTTTTGCTGTTCTTTTATGGATCGTTTCTGGAGCATCTCTACCAAGAGTCCAACAGTAGTCTGGAAGCATGGAAGGATTCCACTTTCCCTGGTTCCTTTTTTCCATTGTTAAAATATCCTGATGAAAACGTTCGCCGTGCTCATCACTTACGGCTCCGCAATTGTCAGGAAAAAAGTCCAGGTGTGAGTGTAGGAAATGTATCTTAAGAGACATATTACAGCCCATCTTTTGATACGATGACAGCATATTTTTGACAAGGGTTTTATAGTTGTCAGCTTTTCTATTTCCCAAGAAATTAGTGACCACCAGACGGAAATCATTCCAAGCAGTTTTTTCAATACCTGTTAAAGTGTTTTCAAACTGTGTATCTTTCAAAATATTTCGAATCTGTGGCCCAACAGAAATACCTCCTTTAACCTTTGCCTCACTTAGTCTTGGAAATTTCTGACGCAGGTATTGAAAAGCTGACCCATCTCTATCTAATGCCTTGACAAAGTTTTTCATTAGGCCCAACTTGATATTCAGTGGTGGTAATAAAATTTTTTTCGAATCTACTAATGGCATATGCTGTACATTTTTTTGACCTGGCTCTAGGAATTGACGAACAGGCCAGTTTTGTCTGGTGTAATGAAGTGCCTCTGCCCGACTGTCCCATTCACACAAAAAACAGCAAAACTTTGTGTAGCCTAGCTGCAGCCCAAGTAAAAGTGCAACAACTTTCAAATCGCCACAAATATGCCATTGGTGCTCATCGTATTTTATGCATGTCAATAGGTACTTCACATTGTCATATGATTCTTTCATGTGAACTGCATACCCTACAGGAAGAGATGGTAAAATATTTCCAATATGCAATAACACTGCCTTTAAACTCAATGTTGAACTGTCTATAAACAATCTCCATTCTTCTGGGTTATAGTTCATATTTAAAGCCGCCAGTAAGCCGTTAATGTTACTGCAGAAAACCAAGTTATTCTCCATATTGAAAAAGTCTTTGTGGCGTTTACGAAAAACACATACCGAAACATCGTCTTCTAACAATTTCCACTGCTGCAGTCTTGATCCAAGTAACTCTGCCTTACATTTTGGAAGTTCTAAATCTCTTACAAGATCATTTAATTCTGACTGTGTTATTTTGTGCGGTTGGTGGCATGACGTGCTCGGTATAAAATCAGGATCTCTTGACGTTGATGGCATATCTTCTTCCTGACGAATCACTCGATCGCCATGATCTGATTCGTTTTCTGATTCGCAAGTGTAGGATTCTGGGGGTTTTGGAATAGGATTTTCGTCACTGTGAGGCACAGGTCTCATCGCAGATGGTATGTTTGGGTAGTTAATAACCGATTTTTTTTTCTTGGACATACCTGTGGTTTGTCCAACACAAGGTACCATGCAAAAGTAACAATCATTGATATGATTTGTAGGCTCTCTCCAAACCATTGGGACAGCAAAGCGCATAGACCGTTTTTTGTCATTTAACCAGCTCCTCAGACTTGAAGCACATGTATTACAGCAGATGTGGGGTGTCCACTGTTTGTCTTGATCACCTAGTTTACAACCGAAATAAAGCTGATATGCCTTTGTTATTAGTGGAGTAATAGACCGTCTCTGAGACGCAAAAGTCACATCACCACACACTTAACAAAACTGATCTGGATTGTTTACACACTTTCGAGACATCTTGCATGAACGCTGTCAGCCAACTGAGGAAAAAATGGCTAATATAAAACAAAATAATGTACACGTATGTATAACGTAACACAATCATGCCGATTACATCATCTTTCCTTGCCGAATATAAAAATGTAGCACGTGCATTCTTGTGAATTACCGTATATTAACACTGTCACAGCAGGAACACATATAATTACCGTATCTCTAAAACTTGAACTAATATTGAAAAAATAAGTTTCATTCCGGTTTTAGCACATTAAAAATAGTAATATTTTGTTGATTTTATTTAGGATATTTTTTGGCTGTTGATCAGTGTTATCTGAAATAAAAGAAACGTCTACTTAACAATGAACTATTTTCATCATTAAAATAATTCAAAATTGCATTATTGCGATGAACAGTATCGCAGTAACTTACAGTGAATGCTATATTCATATAATGTCGAACAATCTTTTGTATAAACAAGAAGAAAACCGCCTATAAAGCAGTATTCTATACCACATTATTTGCACCCAAAATGCAACTTTGAAGTTCTATAAAATAACAAGCAGAAAAAATGATATTTTCGTGCAAGTTGCACGATAATCTTTCATTTTAAAATAAGTAATGAAATATTTGCGATATCCGCTATGGTCTTAAATATCGACAGAGACTTAAGTGTTCCAAATACTTTCAAGCGCAACCCCTTCGTGTGCTAAGATGCTGTACACTTTGGCAATGGAAAAACCATTATTTTAGATGATGAAATGTATTTCACTTTGAGTAATTCTGAAATTAAGGGGTGTATCCCAACCTTTTGTGGGAAGAGTGAGAGGTGAAGCTTTGAATAGTAAGAGCTATATTGATAACTGCCTCTCCAAATTGCTTCAGTTTGACCATGAACATCGTGCTAATGACCATATCATGCCTAGCATTATTCCACTACTCAAGAGGTACCCAAAACTGGTTTCGAAAACGCAACTTACCTTTTGAGATGAAGAACAATTAAGACCGCGAACTTACGAAGAACTAAGGGAAATTAAATATTTTGTGCCCAAACTTTTAGGACATACGTTTTGACTTCCAAAAAATACCGCATGTTTTAATTTTTCGTGATTACAGTACTCGTTGCCAGTACCGCGGAAGTGGAAGGTGAATATATTCATTAAAAATAACCAGATGTACCAAAAAACATGAACGAATGCATAACAAAATGGTCCGAAATGGAGGAAAGTTGGTACGAACATTAAACTCATACATAATTTTAATTAATATGCTCAAAGTTTAATTCAGGAGCTAGTTACTATAAATAAATAGCCGTTCATACGCAAACGGTGTATGTTGAATCTGGATTATGATAAATACAAAGCACATAATATCTAAAATAGCTTTAACTGGAAATATGGAAATTATGAAGCGAATGCCAATAAACGCTAATAGCAAAAGTTATACGTATACCTCCTATATACTATAGATGCATACACAGTATACACACCAAGGCCCCGGTTTTTATAACAATAAGAGCTTATACTGATTGTTGAACACAAACATTTTTGAGATTCATAAGGAAAAATGACGTCGAGTAGATTATTACCATATTTTTGCTCAGTTTACTTCCCACGCCTACTGGCGATGAAGCATTGTAATTGCGAAAAATGATATACGAAGGATGTTTTTCAAGTTTTGCATATGGAAATAAAACAACACGGTAGGTTTAAATGACTTTATTGTTTTCGAAGTATTCTCCACGAAGATTAATACACATCTGCATGCGCTCGAACCAATTTTCGAAGCACTTATTCCACTCGTTTGCTGGCAGATCCAAAACGGCATTTTTGAATGCGTCAACTGCTTCTTCTGGTGACTGGAACCTTTGACCAAGCAGTCTGTTTTTAATTTTCGGGCAAGTAAAGAAATCGTTAAGACTTAGATCGGGACTGTATATGGAGGATGGTCCAATAATTCCACGTTTTCATTTGTTAAATACTGCCATGTTTTTTGGACTCTGTGCGAGCTTACATTGTCTTGGTGGAGGATGATTCTTCTTAAGGGGTTGACTTCTCGAAGCTCGGTGATGACTTTTGGCAAACAAATGGTGGTAGCAACAGTTCTTTGCTCA